TCAAACTCCTGGGCTCAGGTGACTCTCCTGCCTCAGCCTCTCATGTAGCTGGAACTATGTGTGTCCACCAACGTGCCCAGCATATATATATATATTGTGTGTATATATATACACATACACACACATACACATATATATGTTTGGGTTTGGGGGGTGCCAGTGGGGTCAGGGGGCAGTTGAGACAGGGTCTTGCTCTGTTGCTGAGGCTGGAGTGCAATAGCATGATGATAGCTCACTGTAACCTCAAACTCTTGAGCTCAAGCGATCCACCTGCAGCATCCCCAGTAACTAGGGCTACAGGCACATGCCACCATGCCTGGCTAATTTTTATTTTTATTTTGTAGAGACTGGTCTCGCTGTGTTTCCCAGGCTGGTCTCAAACTCCTAGGCTCAAGCAGTCCTCCCACCTCAGCCTCCGAAAGTGCTAGGATTACAGGCGTGAGCCACCACAACTAGCCACTGATACTTTTTTTTTTTTTTTTGAGACAGAGTCTCACTCTGTCACCCAGGTGGAAGTACAGTGGCATGATCTCAGTGCACTGCAACCTCTGCTTCCTGGGTTCAAGTGATTCTCCCACCTTAGCCTCCTGAGTAGCTGGGATTACAGGCATGCACCACCACCTCTGGCTAATTTCTTTTTTTTGTGGGTTTTTTTCCATTTGTTTGTTTGAGGCAAAGTCTCGCTCTGTCGCCCATGCTGGAGTGCAGTGGCGCAATCTCGGCTCATTGTAAGCTCTGCCTCCTGGGTTCACGCCATTCTCCTGCCTCAGCCTCCCGAGTAGCTGGGACTACAGGTGCCCGCCACCACGCCCGGCTAATTTTTTTTGTTTTTTTTGTTGTTGTTGTTGTTGTTGTTTTGGTTTTCTTGTATTTTTAGTAGAGACAGGGTTTCACCATGTTAGCCAGGATGGTCTTGATCTCCCAACCTCGTGATCCACCCACCTCGGCCTCCCAAAGTGCTGGGATTACAGGTGTCAGCCACCACGTCTGGCCAGTTTCTGTGTTTTTAGTAGAGATGGGGTTTCACCATGTTGGCCAGGCTGCTCTTGTACTCCTGACCTCAGGTGATCCGCCCGCCTCAGCCTCCCAAAGTGCTGGGATTACAGGTGTGAGCCACCACGCCCAGCCTCTGATCTGTATTTTTAAAGTCAGGTTTATTGAGGTATAATTTAAGTTGTAAGAGTTTCGTCATTTGCATTTTTTTTCTTTTTTTTAGTTTGTACATGTAAAACATTTTTAATTGTGGTAAAATACACATAACATAAAATTTACCATCTTAACCATTTTAAATGTACATTTTAATAGTATTACGTACATTCACACTGTTGTGCAACCAATCTCCAGAACTTTTTTTCCATCTTGCAAAACTGAAACTCTATACACTTGTTCAACGGGCATAAAAAAAACTGCCCATTCTCCCTTCCCCCATTCCCTGGCAACCACTGTTCTGCTTTCTGTCTCTATGAATTTGACTACTCCAGGTACCTCATATAAGTGGAATTATACAGTATTTATCTTTTGTGACTGGCTTATTTCACTTAACATAATGTCTTCAAGGCTCCTGCCCGTGTCAGAATTTCCTTCCTTTTTAAAGCTGAATGATGCCACATTTTGCTTTACCCATTCATCCATTGATGGACACTTGGGCTGCTTCCACCTTTGGCTATTGTGAATAATGCTGCTATGAACATGGGTACACAAATCTCTCTTCAGGACCCTGATTTCTGTAACTTGTGGCTTTTTAAATGTGTCAAGGAATAAGCCTAGAAGAATTCTGTATCACCTTGTTTTGCATCTTTTTATCATTTGGAAAAAAATCAGGAATGCAGCCCTAATTTCACCAGGTAATATCTGTCTAGCGTCTTTGTGTGCTCACCCTCAAAGGGCTTCTTGTGCCGTTCTTCAGTGATACGAGAGTGCTTTGAGAATTGCCATTAAATAGAAAGGAGCAGCAGTTCAGCTCTATCTCAGAGATTGAGACACTCTGATCAGGGACAGAACTAGCAGTGGCAGGGTTTGTTACAAAAAAACTGTCATTTTAGTTTCCCCTCACATGAGACTCGAAGCCCCACGTCACCCTTCCCCAGGCCAAGAAGGTACGTGGTCCGAGGGAGAAGTCCGTAATGTCCAGCCACAATCTGTTCCACTGCTCTGTGCCCTTCTCACTGGCAAAGATCTGTAACCAACAGCTGGGATCCTATTTCAAAGTCACAAAAGGGGCAGGGGCTGGAAGGGGGCTAAAATAATTTCATGAACAAGTTGATCAAAGAAATAATCTGTGAATGAATCTTAGAGAAAGGAGAGCCAGCCAGCCAGCCATGTGGACAGATAAGAGTCTTTGCCTGCCAAAAACAGCCCCTCTTTCCCGCCCTACATTGTCTGCAGGAATGTAAAAGCCATATTCTAGATCATTTGGCATTCAAATAGCTAAGTAGGCTTCACTCTCAGCTCAGAGATGACTGGGGAGCCCATGTTAGCATTCTCCCCTCCTGCCAGGAGGAAAAGGAATCCAGCTCAGGGACCAAAGCAAAGCTTATTCATCTCCTCTTTTAAGACCCGGAGATGGAGTTCTCCACAGCCCCCCAGACACAGGTCCTTCAGCGTTAAAGAAGCAGAGAAATCAAATGCACATCCCATACAGGAGAAATAGCAGGGAAGGGGGCTAAGGTGACAGATTCTGAAGAGTGAAGCACACCTTTGTGCTCTGCCTTCTTAAAATTCATCCTCTCACCTGCCAGCCTTGAGAATTGCCTATTTACATAACTAGCTGCCTAAAATGGAATATTGGATAATGCTACATGGCGGCTCACTCAATTTGAGCCCATCCCCAGGATGTGAGAGTGATCCAGAAGCCGTCCGACAGCACGCCATGCAGCACGCTGGCCTGAAGCCATGCCTCCTTGTGGTGTGATCCTGTCAGCACTCCGGAGCTAAGCAGATGTCAGGCCCGATCCGGGCCGGGCTGGGGGACGAGCTGAGCAGTGGGGGGAGGGGGCGTGATTCAGCAGTGGCACACTGTCTTCAGGGGACAAACGGTATCTCTTCCTGAGCTTCACAGCAGGCGCCTTGTTCTGCCCAAGGTGCTGTGTTGGAGACGGCCAACCTATAGGACCCGGGAAGGGGGGAGTTGCAGGATCTATGGGGACAGCTCAGCACGGGCGGTCATCAGTCAGCCCTGATGCCACCCTTGGCACTGTGCCAGCCTCGCATCCCCTGTTGATCCTTTCCAGGGCACAGAACTCTCTCCCATCAAAACTGGATTCATGCTGCTTGCTTATAGAAGGAGTATAAATAAGTGATAAGGAAATGTTCTGATAATGATAAGCGGGTATGGTTCCTCAGCAGACTAGATGTATCAAAGAAGGCAATTGTGCGTGTTTGTTCATTTATTTTTCAGCGTTCCGGTTCCTGTAGTCAGTTTAGAGAAAATTCCTAACCTAGTGAAGGCAGATGGTGCCAATGTCAAAATGAACTCTACAACCACTACTGCAGTTTCTGCCTCCTCCACCTCATCCTCTGCCGTCTCCACCCCTTCTTTAATTAAGCCTGTCCTGATGTCCAAGTCAGTGCCACCTTCACCAGAGAAGATCTTAAATGGCAAAGGAATTCTGCCATCCACCATAGACAAGAAACACCAAAATGGCACCAAAAACAGCAACAAGCCTTACAGGAGACTTTCAGGTATGTGTCAGTGTCATCAGGGTCTGACTCAAGATTAGACTAAAAGGGAGTGGCAGCCATAACCAAGGACTGATGTGCTCTTATCATTAAGCAGGTCTGTTTCATTTTAAGGGGGACGCAGAGTTTACCTGCAAGTAGGAACCCCACCTAAAAACGCAAGGGAAAACCAGGTCTTTTCTTCCCTGGGCAGATGAAGTCCCTCACTCAGTTCAGTGCTTAGTGGGAGTTACCCTAGCAACCTGGGAGGCAGGGTGCTCTGCACCGACCTACTCTGTACATTCCGAGGGTCTTGTGAGCAGGTGATTCTGTGTATCCATATCATGCAAACAGATTGAACTAGCCCTGGCTTCCATAGAAGCTTCACTGCTGGGAAGCTAGACAACACACAGGGATCTCATGGTGCCTCAAGGCATGTGAGGGACAGCCCCGCCAGCAGCTGTGCTGCACAGGCACACACAGCCTCTGTCCTTTGGCCTCAGGAGTTTCCAGGTTGATTCTGCAGTTGGGTTTACAACTGTCTATCCCCCATAATCAGATTGGAATTCCCAAACAGGAACACTAGGGCTGGCACAGCCGGTAGGGTATTGGGACGGTCTCTTGTGGGTCTACTCCTTGGTTGTCTGAGCAGACACTGGGGTGCTGGAAGAGGCACATGGGATGATGGTTATCTGATGGTTATCTTTTAGAGGCACTTATATGGGTAATGTTTGCTTTGGATCTATCTGCTGTAGAACTAAATCTGGCAGTTTTTACTCTCTCCAAAAGACCAGGAGAAGCTATATATTTCATAACTTCTTCACACATCATGGGCACTCCCTGATGGTGGCCAGAGAAAGTAAAATGCAGTGACAGCCACCCTGTGACAGAGAAACTGTCCTCGGGTTAAGCTTGATTTGTAAGCACCCAGGGAATTGTGGGTAATTTTTATTGTCTACTCTGTATTTGTCTGTAGTTCTAGTTTTTCTATCTTTCATCTGTAACTCTTTTAAAAATTATGTCTGAAAAGTCCCTCAGGCCCAAAGCATTCAAATAAAGCAGGTATTGTACCTTGCACATCTTTGCCTGCACTGCTCACCCACTGTCAAGAGAGAAAGGTAGAGCCTGTTGCTCTCCCTAAGCACTGTGGGCCTCACGGTTCGGGCTGGAGTCCCCAGCGCCTGGCTCTTCCTGAATGGAAAGCTCAGTTTCACTCTTTAGAGGTGGTAACAACATCCCCAGAAAATCAGTAGGCGTGGGCACAGTGGCTGGAGGCTGAGGGGTCCTCGCCATAGCAGAAGCACAGCCTTGGCTTCCAGCCTGTAACCCCATCTGAAGTTGTTTGGGGATTTTTCTGCCGCGCGTTGTTTTTGCATTTTGTGAGCTGTCTTGTCTCATTGGGTCTTTTGCTTGTTTCTGCCTCACTTTCACATTTGGCAGCCAGCTCCTACCCCCAGCCAACAGCCTGCTCAGCTCCAGGTCGACATGAGGCGCTGGTGTGGGACCAGGCGCATGCCTGACTCTGACAGACCCAAGAAAAAACACCACACCAGGCAGCCTGGCCAGAAAGGGCCCCGAGCAAACCAGCATCTCCAGGCCTAGCAGGTTTTTTTTCTAAGTGAAGCTAAAAAAAAAGAGAGAGAAAAGGCAGACAAAAAGCAAAAAAGCAGAGAGGCGTTTTGGTAACCAGCCAGGGAATCTGTCTTGGGTATAGAATAGTTTTCTTGTGCACATCATTGGTAACACCATTGCAACCTCCCCATGACCCTCAAAGCTTTGAAAATTGAATACATTCATTTATTATGTTATAATCTGAGCATTATTATATGCTCGGAGTTCACTCCAACAATTTCAGACAGTTTTCTGGCTAGGTAACCTTTTTTGAGTTTGCAGCCATTCAAGGGTCTTAAGAACATACCACCAATTTCTGTATACCCCGTACCACCAGCAGCACTGCTGCCAGTCTCCCCACATGCCCAGAGGGCTGTCATTCCTGCTCTGCAGGACTTACGTGTTTGCTTGGTGCCTTCCAGAAACAGCACAGGCCATCCAAGAGGTGGAATTTTAAAGCCCAAAGGATCCTTAAGAGATCACCTAGCCTGGGCAATGTAGTGAGACCCCGTGTCTACAAAAAAAAAACAAAATTAGGCAGGTGTGGTGGTGCATGCCTCTAGTTCCAGCTGCTCAGGAGGTTGAGCCCAGGAGGTCGAGGCTGCAGTGAGCCTTGTGATCACACCACTGCACTTCAGCCTGGGTAACAGAGCGAGACCCTGTCTCAAAAAATAAAAATGAACAAAAGAGATCACCTCACATTCCCCTCATTTTAAAGGTGAGGACAGCATGATTGTCATCCTGGTGGGGGTGAAGGACCCAAGATGGACATAGAAAGAACAGGCTCCTTAGAAGTAACCTCCACACAAACTGTCCACAGTCAACTGGAAGGCAGGAGCTGGGGAAGCCTGGCCTCTCCGCACAGACATCCTTCATCCCACGAGGGCAGCCTGCCCTGTTTTATTCCCACGTGAAGCATCAGGCCCAGGGCAGTGGGGGTAGGGAGCAGCTGTGAGATTAGCAGGCCCTGCCCTCTCTATACCTTCAAGTTCAGCCTTCTCCCCTGCCCCTGCTTGTAACACTGCCAGAGTGCCCCTCAATCAGGTAAATGGTGTTTGTGGTCAGCGAGGCTGTGTGCAAAGCCTGCACTGAGGGCTTTGTCAAGCGTGAGAGAGGCAGGTCACTCCGACATGTGAAGGAATAATCTTCCACTTACATGGCTAAAACTAGCAGGAAGGCAGGAACTGGAGTCAGGGTGTCTGTACTCTTGGAGCAGCCCAGGAAAGGGGCCACTGGGTCTCAGGTGGCTCTCCCTGGTCTGCAGCCAGCTATGCCCAAATGCCAAGGACCTGTGGAACCATTGCAAGTAAAATAAAGCATTAAGAGCATTAAGAGCAGCACGGCTCCTCTCCTTCCCTTTGGTCCCCACTCCCACCCTATTCCCCAACCCTTGTGCTGCATTCGGCGTTGCTGCGGAAGCTAGACTTGGGAACTCTGGGTTCAGAGGGGAGCACCATTTTCCCCCAGCGTTCTGGAAGCACTTTAGCAGCTGGTTGAGAAAACAAAAAACAAAACAAAACAAAAAACAAAAACCAGATTGCCTGACAATGTCTCACTTGTTGGTGCAAATGTGCATTTTTTTTAAAATGTAGTCTTAATGCCAAATTCTATTTAGTCTCCTTTTTTCTTATATTTTTTGTTTGTTTCTTAAACCAGAGAGAGAATTTGACCCAAATAAACACTGTGGAGTATTGGATCCCGAGACAAAGAAACCTTGCACAAGATCCCTCACCTGCAAGGTATTTCTCTTTCCATAAAAAATACTTCCTGCTCTGGCTGGGGCCTTTGTCGAAATGTTTGCATGCCACTCTCTGCACACCGCAGGGTGTGGAACCTCGACATGACCCCCAGCTGTTCTTTGTAAGGGAAATGCTTTCTTCTCGTCCATGGTAGCAGAGTGCCTGCCTCAAGCTGGCTGGCTTTTTAAGAAGGAAAAAAAAAAAAAAAAAAACTAGGCTTCCCCTGTTACTTGTGAGGCCAGACAGTAAATTGTATTTATAGGCACTCACAGGCGGTTCTAAAGCCTGCTACGTTTTAATGTATGCAGGAGCAGCAGCGGCGGCGGCGGCGGCGGCGGCAGCGCCCTGAAAGGCAGCCCTGGAGGGGAGGATGATATGCCGCGCCCCTGATCCAGCCACACCGGGGTGGCCAGGGGAACAGCTGACCCAAGGCGGCCGCCATTGGGTCGCCCAAAGCCCTGTATTTCATGCTGAACTGCTAGTGCTTCTTGGGATCAAGGCGATGGCCCTCTCTGCTTGGTGGCTCTGTTTGTCTGGGCCGAATCGAGCCTCCCACCTGCACCTGGATTAACTCTAGCATTCCCTCGCAGTTGCCTTTCATCAGAGAGGTTTTCATGGGTTCTGCGCTGAAGCTCGTCATCCTATGCCATTTTTTGGAGGAAGCTTTGGCTTCGTAACACCAGGAGTGTAGGGCATGGTTGCGTTCGTGTGGTCTCTGCCTCTTCCTAGCCGCAGAACAGGAGCTGTTGCCTTGAAGTTGACTTTTCAAGCACCTCTAAATTTCCATGAATTGCTATTTCTGAAATGGAGGGTCTGGGGAAGCAGGTTTATGTGCTGATCAAAGAGGCTGTGCTTTTCATTTCTCTTCTCCTTAGACACATTCGCTAAGCCATCGGAGGGCAGTCCCAGGCCGGAAAAAGCAATTCGACCTCCTCCTGGCAGAACACAAAGCCAAGTCCCGGGAAAAAGAAGTTAAAGATAAAGAGCATCTCCTGACTTCCACGAGGGAAATACTTCCCAACCAATCCGGGCCGGCGCAGGATTCTCTGCCAGGGTCTTCAGGGAGCTCTGGGCCAGAACCGAAAGTTGCATCCCCTGCAAAATCCAGGCCACCTAACTCTGTACTTCCTAGGTAAGTACCACCTTGACGCTGGAAGCCCTGAATGCTTGGTCAAGCGACTTTAGCTTGCCTGGTCTGTGGCGTGTGGTCTGATTATGTGTTAAATGGAAGTCATAATAGTACTACTTCGTAAGGCAGTAGTAAAGTTTTAATGAGATAATGTACATAAAAGGCCCAGCCCAGTGCCTGCCACATAGTGTTCAACAGATTTTACTGCTGTCATCATTATCATCATCACTGTCATCACCATTGTCAGCAGCAGTGGACTTCATGGCAGACTAGCAGACCTTATATCAGACAGCGTGTGTTTTTACAGAGCAAGAATAAGCTGGAAACAAATACCTGGAACTGTGACACATCAGTCACCAGGTGACTTCCTGGTTGCCTGGGTTTTTATGTTAGTTGACGATTCCTGGAGCAGATGGGAAACCCGGGTGGATAGGCCGTTAGCACCTCTTAGGCGCTCACTGCACCATGCTAGTCCACTTGCCACGTATTTGTTTTCCACGCTCTCCTATCATCAGGATGAAAGGGGAAATTGGCATAGCAGAGGTTGTTTGTCCTTACATGTCTCTCCACACCAGGAAAGCTACTCTTCTGGACCACCTGTTTGGGGTTCTATGTGGTTGTCCCGGACAGAAAGGAAAAAATAGAAAACAGAATTAACACTCATTTGGATTAAAAGTAATTTAAAATCCATGCATGTCCGTTTTGATGGGCAGCAGCTCAATTCCCAAATAATGGGACAGAGAACCACTTATTCAAAAATATTTATTGAGTGCTCGTTCCATAAGCAAGATTCCATGTTAGGTACTCTCAGGCAGGGGTACAGAGATTAATGAAGCTAGACCCCGCTTTTCAGGAATTTGGAGTTTAAAAAAATGAGATAAGAATCAAGTATCCATAATTTGTATAAAAAGGAAACATTAATAATACTCCATGAGAAGTGCAGATAACGATATTATCTGATGTTCTTTATGCATACAGTGTGAATCTCAACGAGTAGCAAATAGGCTTTAAGAGGACATAGTCATAAAAGAAGGGGAGGGAGTTGATTTTTAAAGCAAAAACAAATATTTGGTAGCAGTCACTCCTGATCTGCCAGGCTCTCACCCTGATGCCTTCCATGTTGGTGCAAGCCTGACCCAGTTTGACAGCCATAGTCCCTCTGTCACTATGGCCAAGCTCAGCCTCAGGCGTTCAGGAGGATGCAGTCAGATGGAATTGCGATCCCCAACACTTCCATCATGCTCACCATCGTGGCGTTACTGTCGCCGTGGACATGCTACTTTCCTGGCCACCCCTCGCTTTGCAAGATCATTTTGTAATGACTTCTCACTGTCATGTGGGGTGTTGGTTAAGGATATTAGCCTTGTTTTAGAGTTGAGGCAACAGTTCTGTTCCAAACTTCTGGAAGGGATTTCAATTCTATATAGAGCGGCTTTTAAACTTCTTTGTAGCTGTCGAACATTTTCATTCCAGCACAACCTGGGTACCTGAGAGGAAAGTAGACTTGCCTCCCCCTGAAGCCGGCTAAGCTCACACATGTACCCAGAGCCACTGTCCCCCACACCCTCTCAAGGATCTCCTTGGGATCCCCAAGGACTCCAGGGAACCCAGTTTGAAAGCC